TTAATTTAATTTTAATCTAATTTCAAAATTATTAAGTAATCAGATTTGTATTAATAAAAAAATTAATTTCGAAGTTTCTCACTTTCTTGCAAAGACGAGAAAGGAGTGTCACAGTCTACAGTTGTTTTCTCAACAATCTCGATCTTCTTCTCTCTCTCTAAAGATTTTTTCACACAACAATCACTTTTTGACTGTGTTTTGTCTGATTTTAAGGATTAGTGAAAATTTTCTACTTTTCTTCTCATAAATTAGGATTTAGAGAGAGAAAGGGAGAGAGAGAGAGAAAGAGAGGTGCTTTAATGTCTGTGAAGGTAGGAGCTGTAATTGGATCCAGAAACAGAGCAAACCCAGTTCGATATCTGTCTCTTTCTTCTTCTCTAGAGATCGAAAGACGTGATTTTTATTAGGGTTGTTGAATTGGGTATCTGCTTAAATCCTGAAAAATTGTGTCTTTCTTTCTCTGGGTTTGGGTTTGTGTTAGTGAGTGATGAGTGTTGATGGGTCGTCGTTGGATTGAGTTTGATAAGCAATGGTTGATCAAAGAAGAAGCGCATTGGGTTTTGTCTTGTTGATGTTGTGTTTGGTACTGTTCGACGGTGTTGTTGTTGGTCAAACACAGACTCGATTCAGTGAGAAACTCATTTTGCTTAATCTCAGGTCTTCTTTAGGGTTAAGAGGAACAGATTGGCCAATTAAAGGTGACCCTTGTGTTGTTTGGAGAGGTATACAATGTGAGAATGGTAGTATCATTGGGATCAATATTTCTGGGTTTAGGAGAACAAGAATTGGTAAGCAAAACCCACAATTCGCTGTTGATCCTCTTCGTAATCTAACTCGTTTGTCGTATTTTAACGCGTCCGGGTTAGCATTACCGGGGACTATACCTGAGTGGTTTGGTGTTAGTTTGTTGGCATTGCAAGTGTTGGATCTTAGTTCTTGCTCTGTTAGTGGTGTTATTCCTTTTACTCTTGGTAATCTCACTAGTTTAAGGACTTTGAATCTGTCTCAGAACAGTCTTACAAGTTTAGTTCCTAGTAGTTTAGGACAGTTGTTGAATTTATCAGAGCTTGATCTCTCTAGGAATTCACTCACTGGAATTCTTCCTCAATCTTTTAGCTCTCTGAAGAATCTGTTGACTCTTGATGTTTCTTCCAATTACCTTACTGGACCTATCCCTCCTGGTTTAGGAACGTTATCGAAGCTTCTTCATTTGAATTTTTCAAGCAATAGTTTCTCGTCTCCGATTCCTCCAGAGCTCGGTGATCTTGTCAATTTAGTTGACTTTGATCTCAGCATCAATTCATTGTCTGGTTCAGTTCCTCAGGAGTTGAGAAAGTTAAGGAATTTGCAGCTAATGGCGATTGGCGATAACCTTTTGAGTGGTACTTTACCAGTAGATTTGTTTAGTGCTGAGAGCCAACTGCAAACTTTAGTTTTGAGGGAAAACGGTTTCTCCGGTAGTCTACCTGATGTGTGTTGGTCATTGCCGAAATTGCGGATTCTTGACATTGCTAAGAACAACTTCACAGGAATGCTGCCAAATTCTAGTTCTTATCCAGACCAGTTAGCTGAAATGGTTGATATCTCATCGAACACATTCTATGGAGAGCTCACACCGATTCTTAGAAGGTTCAGGGAAGTGGACCTCTCTGGTAACTATTTCGAGGGTAAGGTTCCGGATTATGTGACCGGGGAAAATGTGTCTGTTACTAGCAATTGTCTTCAGAATGAGAGGAGACAGAAGCCGTCAGCAATTTGTTCAGCATTCTATAAATCTAGAGGATTACATTTTGATGATTTCGGACGTCCTAATTCTACACAACCGACATCGAAAAATGCTTCTTCAGGGATAAGCCACAGGACAGTAATTATATTGGCAGTGGCTGGTGGAGTTGGTTTTATTCTGATTTTTGTTATCTTGCCAATTATTCTGGTTCTATGCATACGCCATAGACGCAGAGCAGCTCAAAGAGGAAATAACGACAGGCCTAAGCCTGCCGGGGAAGCTTCACAACAACCACCTAAAGGAGCACAGACCTTTGATTTGTCACGTCTTGGAAATGCATTTTCATATGAGCAGCTTCTCCAAGCAACAGAGGAATTCAATGATGCTAATCTGATAAAACATGGCCATTCTGGGAATTTTTTTCGTGGTTTCTTGGAAAATGGTATACCCGTTGTTATAAAAAAGATCGATGTGCGGGAAAGTAAAAGTGAAGGATATATATCAGAACTTGAGTTGTTTAGTAAGGCTGGACACCAGAGGCTGGTTCCATTTCTGGGACACTGCTTGGAGAATGAGAGCCAAAAGTTCCTGGTCTACAAGTTTATGAGACACGGTGATTTGGCTAGCTCTTTGTTCAGGAAATCCGAAAACGAAGGTGATGGATTGAAGTCTTTGGATTGGATAACAAGGTTGAAAATTGCTCTTGGTGCAGCAGAGGGACTATCTTATTTTCATCACGAGTGTTCGCCACCTCTAGTTCATAGGTACTAATCTCCTGCTCAGCTTTTCGTAAGAAACTCTTGATACTCTTTAAAGCACTAAGTTACAATCCTCGAAGGATGTAGTTTGTTGATTCTGTTTCTAGTATCAAATAATCTATTCACAGAATTTTAGTGTTCAGTTTCCTAGATGGAGAAGCCCATTGATATTACCTGCTCCTAAATTACTTGTTGCTATATTTCCTAGTAAGCACAAAAGTATTCATGTGTGTGTGTTCAATGTTATATAGGGATGTACAAGCAAGTAGCATACTTCTTGATGATAAATTTGAGGTACGGCTAGGAAGCCTAAGCGAGGTATATGCTCAAGGTGATGCTTACCAAAGCAGGATTTCTCGTTTACTTCGGTTACCACAGTAAGTGCTTATGACATTAACAAATCTTCTGGTCCTTTTGTGTTTTAATTTGATTTCCTAACAAGACTCTATGTTGTCTTGGTACTACATTATATAAAGCACTTTCGAGTTCTTACTAATGCTTCTCCCTCTTCTTTTCCGACTCTTGCAGATCGACTGAACCTTCCTCTTCAGGTATGTATGCTTCGGATCATAAAACCTTCCATTACGATATAAACTTTAGTTTAAATCTTCTACATTTTGGAGTGTAACAGTTCAATTGCTTCTTACCTAATAGAACTTTAAGTTAATAGGCTCTAGTAACAACGTAGCATGTGTATCAAAGGAGCCGGTTTGTGGATTTAGTATCTGAATGAACGGAACATAATCTATTGCTTTGTAAGATGATCCGAATAGGTTTGGGGATTTTTGAAGACATCTGATTGTTTTCCTCTCTTCAGGTGCAACAAATGCAACATGTTCCTATGATGTCTACTGCTTTGGCAAAGTGTTACTTGAGCTAGTAACGGGGAAACTCGGGATCAGTTCGCCAGACAACGCACTTGCAAAAGAGTACATGGAAGAAGCTTTGCCATACATCAGCACAAATGAGAAGGAACTAGTAACAAAGATCTTAGACCCGTCCTTAATGGTGGACGAGGACCTTCTAGAAGAAGTATGGGCAATGGCTATCATTGCAAAATCATGCCTAAACCCAAAACCAACAAGAAGACCATTAATGAGACACATTGTAAACGCACTTGAGAACCCACTGAAAGTAGTAAGAGAAGATACCAACTCGGGTTCTGGCTCTTCCCGGTTGAGAACAAACTCGTCGAGAGGGTCTTGGAACGCCGCTATATTTGGGAGCTGGAGGCAGAGCGCATCGGATGTAACAGCGGTTCAAGCGGGAGCAACAACAAGTGGTGGTGGTGGTAACGGTTTGAGGAACTCGGGGTCATCGTCAAGCGGAAGAAACAATAACAACAACGGGAATTCATCGTCAAGAAGACGGCAATCTAGTGAGATTGTACCGGAACCTGCTGCTTATGGAGTAGTAGAGGATAATTTATGATTCGTTTCATCGATTCTTTTGTGTCGATAATAACAGAGGCAAATAAAGTCCTCAAGGTAGCATAATGTTAGAAGGGAGGTTTTGCTTTTTCTTTTGTTTTTGGGTTTAGGATTGGTGGGAGTTAGAAATTGTTAGTTCACTCTTTGTTGTTTTTTTTTGTTCTTAATATTGGGTGTTTTTTTTTTGGTTCAAACGTGGATGTTGTAAATTGTAATTCTTGGAAATTGGGTTTTGTTTTCGGTTTCTTTCTTATTGAAAGACCAGAAAACAAAAAAAAGTTGGGTTCGTTTACATTTGTTTCTTCAGTTCCACTTTTACTTCTTCTTTTTGTTGGATCTGATTTCGTACGTGTTAATAAATGTTGACTATTTCATTCGCACGTGGGAAGCTTTTGATCCACATTAGGACAAAAAGTAAAAGGAAAGATCAATATTAAAAAGAAAGGTTCTACCGAGAATTGAACTCGGGTTACTGGATTCAGAGTCCAATGTCCTAACCGCTAGACCATAGAACCATTTTGGTTACAAATATCAAATTATATTTATGTACACTTGTGAACCAAGCCAACATTTTATGAACTTACAGGATTTTAGTCTGAGCTATAACTATATTTAATTATTTCACACACTGATTTTCATGGCTTAATTTGAAAATCTATCATGGTTACAGTGATTAGATAGCTAAATATAAATTTTTGGGTTATCTTTGTCATCTCTCCTAGATTAATATGTTAAATAGTTAAATATAATTAAACTATCCCGCATAATGTTAAAACGGACAATTTGATAAAAAAAAATGTTAGAGAATTTTTGTTATTTATTTCGTTTGTAAACAATCTTCCTCCGGTGTGGCTTACTTGAGCCAACCAAATAATACATCGTTGTTTTTTTTTTTGCTAAAGAATAATACATTGTTGTTAACAAAAACAAAAAACAAAAGATATAATTTTTTTTTAGTTAGTTTTGCCAAATCCCCTAAATTTAATATGTTGGTTAATTGGCTATTTGACTTTATGCCATACCAAACATGAAACACCAAATAAAATTTGAAAGAAATCTCTAAATATATGATTATGGTAAGAAATGGGGAAACCTATGCAAACAAGTAAGCAAGTGGGATATAGTAAAATCAGCACATGTGAGCTTTGGGATTCTGTAACAACTTCAGTCCACTAACTATTTAATTATACCACATTTCTTCTAACCCTTACAGTAACTTAGCCTTCATATCCTTATTACTCTTTTACATCTCTAATCTCACTTCCTCCACATTCCTCTGTTTCCATGGCTCTCTCCATCTTCTTCCATCTTCTCTTCATTCTCTTCTCTGTTTCGCCGTCAAATGCACAGTCGTTTATCGGAGTAAACTACGGCTTACTAGCCGACAACCTCCCACCACCGTCCGAAACGGCCAAACTCCTTCAATCTACCTCCATCGAGAAAGTGAGGCTATACAATGCCGATCCCTCCATCATCAAATCCTTGGCAGGCACCGACATCGGCATTGTTATCGGAGTAGCCAATGGCGATCTCCCGTCTATCGCCTCCGATTTTAATGTCGCCTCTCAGTGGATAAATTCCAACGTACTTCCTTTCTATCCTGCCTCCAACATCATTCTCATCAATGTCGGCAACGAGGTGATTCCTTCTCTCAATCCAACAACTTTTACGGATTTTCTCGAAAAAGTTTCTAAATCTTTCATGGATTTAGCCTGTTTCTAGTTTTTGTCGATGTTATTTTTGTAAACTCTTTTCCTCCAGAACTTATTTAAAATGTATAGTTGACATAAAGAAAAAGAAAAATCCCTAAATCACTTTCCATTGTTGCAGGTGTTGTTGTCTAATGACCTGAATCTAGTGAACCAACTTCTCCCGGCGATGCAAAATGTTCAAAAGGCCCTCGAGGCGGTTTCACTAGGCAGAAAAATCAAGGTGTCTACGGTCCATGCAATGACGGTGCTAGGCAACTCCGAACCGCCATCAGCTGGTTCATTTGCTCCTAGTTATCAGGCTGGTTTAAAGGGCATTCTACAGTTCCTTAGCGATACTGAGTCGCCTTTTGCCATCAACCCGTACCCGTTCTTTGCGTACCAGAGCGACCCGAGACCCGAAACGCTGGCGTTTTGTCTTTTCCAGCCTAACCCTGGACGGGTAGACTCAAACACTGGAATCAAGTACATGAACATGTTCGATGCTCAGGTAATTAATTACTCTTGTACTTGTAAATTGTAATATATAAACCCTCACGGGTCGTTTATGTACTAATTAATCTAGCATCATTAGACTATTAATTAACGCGATATTACTACAACGTTATAGTTTGAATTGGCTATAAACATTTTCGTGAACTTGCTTTTCAGATGAAAAAAAGAAACTTGCTTTTCAAACTCTAAAGTAGCCAAGTAGGTTAGTAAGTATTCTTTGGTTTTGGATTTGGTGGACTTTTATATCTCACATTCCAGCTCAATATTCATATAAATTGCATTTGTTTATTTTTATTTGGTCTCAATCTCATGGTATGGTTCACTTACAATAATTTATTGTTGCACCGAGCTCTTCAATTATTTATTGTAATTATTTAATACTCCCTCCGTTTTACAAAGATTGTCATTTTAAGGTTTTAATTTTGTTTCACAAAGAATGTCGTTTTATGTTTTCAATGCAGTTTTTAAGATTAATTCTCTTTTTTATCTCTATTATTTGAGCTTATTAATTATAGAGAGGGTATTATCTAGTGTATTAATAAGGGGTAAAAATGACATTTGTTTAGTTTTCTTAATTTGTGTGAAAAATGGTAGAATGACACTTTTTGTGAAACAGAGGGAGTAATTGTAAATCATGCGAAAAGTCTGTAGTTGAACGTTGGAAGGAACTTGCTCTCTTTCTTTCTCTACGTTTCTACTTAGAAAGAAATCAAATAATCTCATTATCGTAAGATAAAAGAAACATTTGTTTCTTGCCACAAACGTTATACTGATCCAAATAGGGGGTTTTCCCTAGGTTGATGCAGTACACTCAGCTTTGAAATCGATGGGATTCGAGAAAGTAGAAGTGTTGGTAGCCGAAACAGGTTGGCCATCTACCGGTGACAACAACGAGGTAGGTCCAAGTGTTGAGAATGCTAAGGCTTACAATGGAAATCTCATTGCTCACTTAAGGTCCATGGTTGGCACTCCGCTCATGCCCGGCAAATCCATCGACACTTACATTTTCGCTCTCTTTGACGAGAATCTCAAGCCTGGTCCTTCCTTTGAGCGATCTTTTGGCCTTTTCAAGCCTGATCTTTCCATGGCCTACGACATTGGACTCACTAAAACTACTAGTAGTCAGGTACTAAGATACCATAACCAATATGTGGATTATGTATCTCTTTTTATATATAACCGGGGGATCGTGGACAGACATCCACACTAATCCCTCGCAGCGTGTGAAAAGGCCGCTATTCTTGCTATTTAAGGCAACCATAGTTGAAAATGTAACGGGAATCCTTCAACTACTAGACCCCATGAATTGCTTATTTTCGAGATAACCGTTTCTAATGAATTTTTTTGTGATGATAGTAGACTTCACAATCTCCACAGTTGGGAAAAGCAACATCCATGGGATGGTGTGTGCCAAAGGAGGATGCGACTCAAGAGCAGTTGCAAGATAGTCTAGATTGGGTTTGTGGGCAGGGAATCGATTGTGGCCCAATAATGCCAGGAGGGGTTTGTTTCGAGCCTAACAATCTTGTCTCTCATACAGCATATGCCATGAATCTTTATTTCCAAAAATCTCCTGAAAACCCTATGGATTGCGATTTCTCTAAAGCCGCGAGGATCACTTCTGAGAACCCTAGTAAGTTATTTTCCTCTTCATATTTCATATAAAATCATGAGTTGGTAAGTTTGCATTTGGTTGAAACAAATCTTATAACTAAGACATTGTGACAGTCAATATCTTCTTTCTATGGTTCAAGAAAAAAACATAATTTCTAATCCGATATTAGATATTCATGAGTTCATTAGATTCTTGGGTCATGCTAATGCTATATGTGATACGCTACAAGAACAAATAATTTAAAGCTATAACCCCAATAATTAATCCTATAATAGATCACGCCGAATCAAACCAAATACCACCTTTCATGAGTGATAGGTTTATTGGCATGTTTGATTATTGTGTATTTCATGATTTCATCTTATTTTTCCTTTATACATTTTGCTCGACAAACTAATAAACTTCTTTAGGAATATGATAGAAATTAATTTGATACTTTGATACTCTTTTTCTAAAATTTTCATGTTACACATCCGCAATAATATATAGTGTGAATTAAGATGCTACACATCTCCAATTTCTAACTTTAAAATGTATTTCAAGACTATAAAAACAAGTCTCTTGCATTTTTTTTTCTAATCACGCACTAATGTTGTTGGCTTTCCTGTTTAGGTTATGACAGTTGTGTCTATCCAAGAGCAGGAGATGGAACCATAAATGGAGAGACGAATAAATATGTGACTTCAGACAAATCAACGGAGAAGAACGGATCCAAATGCTCATGTTCCCTCTCATTGCCACTCTTTATCATCTTTATCTCTTTTTTCTTCAATTTTCCCAACTTGAGAATTATGTAGCAGTTGTCTCATTTAGTCTCAGTTCCTACCATTTTATTCAATTCATCTAATCATTTTGTTGTTCTCCCATTATTATAAATAATATTATTAAATCTAATCCATTAATGTTGTTTTTAATGGGGTCATCTCAAACTTTTCCATCAATGTTGTTCCCTCATCGGTGCAATCACCATCACCGTTCAACTTTTAGTGTCACGTGCAACCACCTCCTCCGAGATCTGAAGCACCGTTGCATCCACCTTTGCTCAACCAAGTCGTGGTCATGTTAGGCAGCAGCGCACCCAAATTAAGCAATGGACCCAAAGGCACCAAATCTATTGATGAATATGTTCGAGGTCACACCACCACACGTATGGATGAATTAGCTCTTCTTGGGCAACCTTTTCAACATGAAGAAATATATGAGGCTATTTTTGAAGGCCTCCTAGAGGAATACAAACCAGTCGTTGATCAGATTGAATGAAAAGACACACCACCGTCTATTCCTTACATTCATGAGCGTTTATGTAATCACGAAGCCAAACTTCTTTCTGTAACTCAAGCGGCTACCACTTCTCCGTTTCCAGCCTCTGCTCATGTTGGTCGACACAACAACAATTCCAACAACCAATCCAAACTCGCAGGAGATGCAATAATATGTTGTGTTTTTATCGGTTATGTGTATTTAGTTTCTTTCTTAGATCATATCTTTTATAGAGTCAAAGTGTGTATTTAGAGTATTTTACTCCTTCATCAAGTCTCTACAGTTTTTAGGTTGCTTCAGAGGAAAACGAATTGTTTTGGGATATAAACACACATTTGGATATGCTGATTTGTTTAGATGTATCAGACGTTTGATCTCATATGGAGGACTTTCCACTGTTAGATCTTTATGACTATTTTAGAAACGCTTGATAAAGCTGTTAGCTTCATTTTCCAAGTGATACTAAGGAAATCTAACGGTGCATTCAAGAGTTATGTCTGAATTAGTGAAGACATGTCATTCTGGCGAGTATTTGAAACAGTTGCAGAGTTTGACACCAGAAACGCCAGATCAATCGGTCTACTTGTGGATTGATCCATCGAACCCCTCTGACAGACGAGAATCAGTTTGACGTGGGATCGATCGGTCCATTCATACTAATCAAACCAATAGACCAAAAGTTAAACCCGAATTAAACCAACATGTCATCATCTTTTTGTTGTTATGTTGTTCCATGGAATTGAACTCCTTTTACATCCAAATTGAATTTACTTCCAATCATATGCCAAATGATACAAATTTATGACCGTAGTCAATACATCAAGATAATGATTTAATTCATAATTCTATCAGTTGTTAATAGTAATAATTATATTGATCACATTATTTTCATTATTGTGCAATGTATTAATTTGTATTGTTTTACAAAAATAAATTAAAAATAAAATCACAAAACAAAAATATTAAAATAAACAAAATTTGTATGCTTTTAATTAAACAAGGTTAATTATATGTCGATTTGGGTTTATAAATGTGAATTAGGGTTTAGATTTTATAACTAAACGAAATTATATGTCGGTTTGGGTTTATAAGAAAGTAATTAGGGGTTAAGTGTATAATTACACAAATTTATATGTTGGTTTGGGTTTACAAATATGGATTAGGGTTTAGCTTTTACAATTAAACCAAATTATATGTCGGTTTGGGTTTATAAAAGAGTGATTAGGGTTTAGATTTTACAATTAAACAAAATTATATATCGATTTGGGTTTATAAATGAGTTTTAGGGTTTAGATTTTATAATTAAGCAAAACTATATGTCGCTTCAGGTTTATATAAGAGTGGTTAAGGTTTGGATTTTACAATTAAATAAAATTATATACCAGTTTGGGTTTATAAAAGAGTGGTTAGGGTTTAGATTTTACAATTAAAGGAACTTATATATCAGTTTGGGTTTATAAAAGAATGATTATAATTTAAATTTTACAATTAATTCAATTTAGGGAGTTTTATTAATTTATTTGTTTTTTAATTTGTTTAATTAGATGATATAGCAAACCCAAGAATTGGTCATTCCAATATAAGAATCGTTTAATATACTTTATTACAGTAAACCTCTATAAATTAATAATGTTGGGACCATGATATTTTATTAATTTATAGTGATATCAATTTATCTATAAATTAATACTTATTAATTTATAGTGTAAATTAATTCTTATTAATTTATAGAAAGTTTTTTTCAATTGTGAAAACTTTTTAAAAAATACTAGGTAAAGCAATGTGATCTAAATAGAATTAATGTTTTGAATGTTATAAATTTTATAGTTTTAACCTTAAATACTTAATATTTCGAAGAGAAATAATTTATTTTGATAAAAATAACAACGATTATAGAATTCACATATACAAACGATATACATAAATTAAAATTCACAAATATTGACATCCATTGTTGTATTTTAGAAACATATAAGACCATTAAAATAAAAATTATGCATATTCAAAATTAGAAAAATTACAACAACGTTTGGCTATTTTTATGAAAACACTAATATTATTATTATTATTATTATTATTATTATTATTATTATTATTATTATTATTATTATTATTATTATTATTATTATTATTATTATTATTATTATTATTATTATTACTATTATTATTATTATTATTATTATTATTATTATTATTATTATTATTATTATTATTATTATTATTATTATTATTATTATTATTATTATTATTATTATTATTATTATTATTATTATATATATGTGCAAATTTACATGATTATTAATTTATGATATTATTGGGACTATATTTTGACATCGGGATTTTAAAAAACTTATTATCTTATTATCTTATCGAATTTGGTTAATTTTTTACATTGTCCCGATTCGGAACAGGCCAAATTTATTAATTAATCGTGTTTATTATTTTATTGAGTATTAATTTATAGAAGTTCTAGTAGTAAAACCTCTTTAAATTAATAATGTTAGGACCATGATATTTTATTAATTTATAGTGATATTAATTTATAGCGTAAATTAATACTTATTAATTTATAGAAAGTTTTGTGCCAATTGAGAAAACGTTTTTTTAAAATACAAGGTAAAGAAATGTGATCTAAATAAAATTAATGTGTTGGATGTTATGAATTTTACAGTTTTAGCCTTTAAACTTAATATTTCGAAGAGAAAATAATTTATTTTGACAATAAATAACAACGATTATAGAATTCACATATACAAACGATATACATAAATTCAATTTCACAGATATTGACATCCATTATTGTATTTTAAAAACATATACGACTATTAAAATAAAAATTATGCATATTCAAAATTAGAAAACTTACAACAAATTTTGGCTATTTTTATGAAAAACACTAAAATTATTATATATATATATTTGCAAATTTACATGATTATTAATTTATGATATTATTGGGACTATATTTTTACATAGAGATTTCAAAAAACTTATTATCTTATCGAATTTGGTTAATTTTTACACAGTCCCGGCACGGGACCGGCCAAATTTATTAATTTATCGTGTTTATTAATTTATCGAGTATTAATTTATAAAGGTTCTACTGTATATTATTTAATTTTAATAAATGATATTATTTTCGTGGGACATCATCTAGTAGTTTCAGAAAAGGTTAATATATACATGACATTCTATGAAAAATCCATCAAAATATTTTATTAGAATATTTAATTAATGATTGATACAATTTTTATATCTACTAACTTTATAAATCTATCAACTTTCAGTATCAAAAAATTCTACAAATATCCATCTACCAATAGACAATTAAAGAAAAAAAAGGAAGGAATGGTAATTTTTTGAAATAGTCAAAATATTGAAATTTGGTAATTTATTAAAAATATTCCAGATACTGGAAATGGTATGAGATATGTAAAAATGGAGGATTATATATATACACACACATTATGTATTTACAAATTACAAACAAGAACCACAACAAGGTCAATTGAAACATCCAAACCATGAAATCATCACATATACTTCTAATATGCATAGTCATGTTCTCTCTCTTCGCTCTACATGAGTGTATGTATAGTTTTTCCAATATATATATCAAATGATCACTTATTTTTTCCCACTCGTCAAATTTTGGTTTGTGTGTTTTAAATAAATGGGTGGCGAGATACATAGATCAATGCTCAATATTACAATACCACCGTGTATCAAAACCTTTTGCAAGATATCATTCAAAAAGGATCGTTGGTGTTGTTTCGGACCAAGAGCTAAGAAGGAACGTTGTTGGAAAGAAGAAGATTATCCTAATGCCAAAGAGCTATGCTACGCCAGATGTATAATAGAATAATAATGTATGTTGCTTATTCAAATTCAGGCATTTTTAAAGTATTTTAATCATCTATATATTTTAATTTATGTTATATCTCTTATGGTGATGATATTTGATTTTCTACATGTGTGTCACATCATACTTTCCATTTAATTTTTACAATTAAAACATGGGTAATATTATTGAATAGCCAAATAAAATACTGAAATTAAGAAAATAGCATACAGAAAGTTTTTTTATTGCAAAATAGTCATGGATCCACGTTGTCAAATGAAGTGAAATACCAAAACTATCTTTTGTTTGTTGCGATATCAACGATATGCAAGACAGTTTCGTGAGATTTTTCAAAATATCATGTAACATTTAAATTTCACACGTTATATTTAACTAAAATACATTGATATTTCAAAAAACATAGTCAACTTTTAAAAAAAAAACATTGTTACGTAGTGGTTTTTTAAGAAAAAAATATTGTTACGGAAAATTTAATCTTGTGGATGTCGGATTCACACACTCAAGTATTTTGTTAAGTAGGAAGGATTATTCTTGAGGGACAAAAATGAATATGTAAAAACTTATAAAATTGCTACGAAAATTGCTATATTATTTCTTGCTTGAGAGGAAGATCACCTTTTCATGGCCATTGGCCTCTATATTTATACATAGAGAAACGACATTAAAATGAATAATTAAGTACAATTATTCCTTCTTAAATGTGTCCGTTTTGATTCTTCGACTTTAATGCTCAACGTTTGAATTTGAGTTGACTCTGATCTTCATGAGCCTCGCCTTTTTTGGCCCAAGTTT